CCTCACAATAAGCGATTTTTGCGATTTTATTTTCGTTCATTTTTTTAACGCGTAGTTTTTCCTTATTCGTCTGACTGGGTGATAGGTGCTGCCCACATACCACTTATAACATCCGAAAAAAGAATTCATCAAATGTATCGTAACTAAAACAAACCCTTTGGTACACAGCATAACCCAGACACACACGCTATACAACATCGAAAATAAATTAACATAGTACAGTAATAAGTATCTTAATTCAAGAGAAAATCAGATCGTTCGAGGATAGAATGAACCGACTGGTTATTGAAAGATACAGGTTCGATTCCTGTTCTGATTTTGTGATCCTCGTTCGATAAGTCGTACGTACTTGTTGAGCTGCATCTACTGTGGATACATTCTATCCAAACATGACCTACATTTGACGTCAATGGATGAGATGTTTCCATAGATTTTAACTCTTTTCATTTTATTTTATTTTACTCAATCTCAAGATCGTGGCATGCTTGATTCACCCTGTTTTCACCACTTTTCTGAATTAATGCAAAAAAAAACAGTTAAGCCGTACCATTGTCAACACAAAAGCAAGTACCACGATCATAATTACGACAATCAAGAAAAGAAAGACCAGTACTATAACGAGCACCATAACGATGATCAGGATCACCATGATATATAGTATCACCATAACGATCTTTAGTAGCACGATCATAACGATCATAAGAACCAACAGTATTAAGACCAAAATGACCATTATCAGTATTAGTATAACTCTCATTATCATGATAACCACGACGAACAAGATCATCATAAGAATAAGAATAAGTATAAGTACGAGTACATATGCAACCATCACGACGCTCAAACTTTTTCCAAATTTTACCATCACGCCAACGTTCCCAATCTTTGCTCATCCAATTGCTCACACGCTGGATCCATTTCCAGGTTGCCGAATCACCGGTAAAGTACCAATCACGACATTTGTTGCAATTGGCACAAAGACGCCCTTTACAATATGGAGAGTATTTAAAGGGCACAGCGAATCCTTGGTCTTGTAAAAATGAAAGTTGTAAATATTCAAAGTAATTTCAAAATAGATTTGATAAATTCTTTTCTGCGAAACAATAAATAATGATTGAAACGTATCTATCAAGAACATACATGTCAAACTCTCAAACGGATTTTAGATATAGAGTTACTTATATCCACAAACTTTCATGATAGAAAAAGCTCAAATTTTACTAATAGCAGTTGTAGTATGCTCTGATGACGTCCTTCATAACAACAACGATAAACATCTTAACATAGTGCTCGTATGAATATCATGAGTATTGTCAATGTGATGCAATTTTTTTGTAAGTGTCACTTCGTATGTCCTTTTTGGATATAGATTGTCACAGGCAATATTCCTGTATTATGATAACCAAAAATGATTGGTTTATAAGTTTCTTAAGAGTATTGAAGTTTTCACTGGATTTTCTATAGTTGCTGGAATGATATCATTTTCTTCAAACTTTTAAACTTTTACAAAATATACTCTCCTTCAATGCAGTAACATAACTCATGATGAAGGTCACATATAACGACTTGAATGTAGAATGGATAAATTTTGACATGCTACGATTTTCGATGAATGAGATCGAAAAATTGTTTTTATATAATTCTAAAATTTGTGGAGACTCCTCAGTTAATCAGATTCTTCATATCGATGTTTTTTAAAATCTAGCGATTACGAATAAAAACCTAGTCAGAATTGTGCCCAATTAGTGTACAACCAGTGAACCAGTCGATACAAGACTAATGTTATAACATACCCTACTTCATTCATTTTACGTACTA